CAGCAGGAGTCTTAAATGAGGGAAACGGAGGGGAACTCACCATGCAGGAGACCTTGAGGTATAGCCGCCGTCTTGAAGATATATGAGAGTCGTAAATCATCCCATTGCGGGCCTGATGTGCTTCTTGAGGACTGGACTAAATCCTTCAGGCCAGGGATTATTTTTTGTCGATGGCCACCGGAGGCGTCGAGGTGATGGATGATCAGGACTTCATTTCTTGGGGGTTTGGGGGGGAGGAAAGGGGCGCTGAGACGGGTTTTCGACGGCACTGTGACGGTTTTTGATGGGACGAGACGTTTTTTGGAACTATTGTGGAATGTTTTATGACGACACAGCCGTTGTTGGACCACACAAGAAACGTTTACAGACGACACCGAGACGTTTTAGACAGTTATCAAAGGCGTTAACGAAATCATCAAGTGTCTTTTTAAAGTCTTGGTGCAAACAAGATTTAACAATGTCTTGGGTGGACGACTGGACGTGAACGAGACGTGTTCTCACTGGTCTAGATGACGTGTTCTGACGGGTCTAGATGACGTGTTCTGACGGGTCTAGATGACGTGTTCTGACTGGTCTAGATGACGTGTTCTGACTGGTCTAGATGACGTGTTCTGACGGGTCTAGATGACGTGTTCTGACGGGTCTAGATGACGTGTTCTGACGGGTCTAGATGACGTGTTCTGACGGGTCTAGATGACGTGTTCTGACGGGTCTAGATGACGTGTTCTGACGGGTCTAGATGACGTGGCTAAACTACAGGTTTACAGAAGACTATCTCCAGCCTTCAGAGACGTGTGATGGAGGAATACCTGATTAGCCATGAACTTGTCAACACATCATTAACTGAATGTTATCCAAGTGGTCACCAACATCAACGTTTGTGGCCACCGTTTTATTTAACGTCTGTTCTTGTTATTAATTTATTCTTCAAGTGTCGATGTGTCAACAAACAAGAACAAAAGATACAGTACAGTACAGTACAGTACAGTACAGTACAGTACAGTACAGTACAGTACAGTACAGTACAGTACAGTATCAAGGTGTATCCAGAATAATGAACTTTGAAAAGGAAAAAAAAAATACTACGAAAATAAAAAAATAATAAAATTAAACAAACTCAAAAACAAATAATTACCCCCTAACACATTCCCACGTCGTTACGGTCGAGTCTTAATGCATTTTGAACGCCATCTTGGCTTACATGGTAGCTTTCTGGGCTTTCAGGCATTGATACGATTAAAAATAAAATCAAATATCTGGTTTATCATACATCTACCACCCCTCCACCGCTACCATGACAACAGAGGGCTCTTGAGTGTGTGTACAAAAACTTTTAATTTCTCTCCCCAACAGAATATACCGGGTTTATATAGACTTACCCCTAGCGACACTATTTTTTTTGTCTTCTGTTGGTGTGAAATGCTTCCGTTTAGTACTCTGTTTGGAGCGTCACTTTACACTGTGTATTATCGAAAGAAATAATATTGATTAAGTGACGTACTGGACACACACACACTTGCACACCCCACACGTGCACACCACACACACACACACACTTGCACACCCCACACGTGCACACCACACACACACACACACACTTGCACACCCCACACGTGCACACCACACAACACACACACACTTGCACACCCCACAATGCACACCACACACACACACACACACACACACACACACTTGCACACCCCACACGTGCACACACACACACACACACTTGCACACCCCACGTGCACACCACACACACACACACACTTGCACATCCCACAAGTGCACACCACACACACACACACACACACACACCCCACACACTGCACACACACACACACACACACACACATACACACACACGTGCACCACACACACACACACACACAGCAGTCCCAACCATTGTAAAAATTATCAATAACTTGTAATCAACCAGTGTATTCACTCCCAGTCAATCTTACTTTTTCACTGTCACTATGTTGAAATGCCTCGTAGTATGACCTTCTCCCCTAAATTATTATATATCATATTTGTATCATATGCTACTTGTATATTATTTGTAAATCAAGAGACCCATTCCCCAATTATGTAACTGTATATTTTCAGCAGTCCGGCAGCCATGCTCTTTCAATAAACCGTTAATTAATAATAATAATATTATTTTTATTTTTATTTGCACACCCCACACATTCATACCACACACACACACACGTGCACACCACACACACTCCTATGCATACCACACACACACACACACACTCCTGCACACCACACACACACACGTGCACACACACACTCCACATGCATACCACACACACACACGTGCACACCACACACACACACACACACACACACACAACACACACACACACACACACACACACACCTGCACACAACACACACACACACACACACACACACACACACACACCTCATGCACACACACTGCACATGCACATGCATACCACACACACACACGTGCACCACACACCTATCATACCACACACACACACACACCCTGCACACACACACACACACACACACACACACACACACACACACACACACACACACACAACACACACACACACACACACACACACACACACACACACACACACACCTCATGATCCACACACAGACAGACAGACACACACACACACACTTGCATACATACCACAACAGCACACACACACACACCTGCACACACACACACACCTGCACACCACACCACACACACACACACACACACCCACACACTCCATGCATACACACACACACACACACACACACTTGCCCATACCACACACACACACACACACACACACACTTGCACACCACACACACACACCTGAATCTAGTTAATGACGTCAGCGAGAGATGGTTGGTACGCCTGAAACTTGTAAACAAACCCAACGCTTTGAGGTGGAAATTTGTTGACACCCAAGACAGTATGCGGTGAGATACTGGCCACAACCCAGCGCTTTAAAATACCCCGAGGTCATGTGATTCCTGGTGTGGGCAGGTCATGGGATTGGAGAGGTGTCATGTGATACAAACCTGTTCTGGGTACGTGAATGAGAATGGTGGTCAGGGAGAATTCTGATATGTAAAATGAGATTGACGGGTTTAAAGGATAGGAAAAATTGAAAAAAAAAGGAGTGAAGATGAGGACTGGAGGACACTGTCATACCAACAAGGGAGAGGAGGAGGAGGAAGTATCATAAGGTCTTCCCTACAAGAGTTGATCGAAGGCAGAGTTTCTCTTTATTGAAAGGTATCACCTTGAAGGCGCCATTTTTCACCTTTAAAGCCGTAACTAAAAGCATGGCTACATCCTCACCTATCCTGACACACCTTTTGCCTACAGCAGCCTCTTACTGTTCCTCCTCCTCCACCACTACTACCATCACTTTCTTAACCACCACCACCTCCTCCTCCACTACGTCCCTCACCTCCTCCTCCACCACTACTACCATCACTTTCTTAACCACCACCACCTTCCTCCTCCACTACGTCCTCTTCCTCCTCCACCACTACTACCATCACTTTCTTAACCTACCTCCTCCTCCACCACTACTACCATCACTTTCTTAACCACCACCTCCTCCTCCACTTCGTCCCTCACCTCCTCCTCCTCGCCTACCTTCACCACAACATCTTGTTCATCCTACTCCTCCTTCTCCACCACCACTTCCTCCATCTCCCTCCCTCCCCCCTCGTCTTGCCGTACTCAACACGTAAGGTTGCACCACGCGAGGTTAGGCGCCAGGGCCGTAAGGAGCTGGTGCCACTTGCTTGATCCTACTCCAAGGGATCTTAACCCAGGAGCGTCTGAAATCTTCCATCGTAAAAGGTTTACATGTGTGGACATAAACACCAACGGCTGATAAAACGAGAAGGATTCGACTAAACGTAATAAAATAGAAGAAGTTAATTACGTTTTGAATTTACTTGATTCTAACAAGTAAATCACATACGCACCAAAAAAAAGTTCACATTTTAAAATAAATTGGTAACAAACTTTTCAATTATCTGACCTTGATTGCTAAGAGTTTAGAAATCTGACTCTATAAAGAACTGTGTATCAGAAAACAATAACTTAAATTCCCACCAGTTAAATCATCTAAATATGTTTTCAGTCGTCGCAAATATTGGGTAAAGTTCACGAAGTCCTCCAAAGAAAATACACAAAGCCTGGAAACAAGAGAGCTTTTAATGTAGTGTACAAGAGTATACGGCACCAGACTCAGAGAGTCTTTGGTAACTAAGAACCTTGTCTCAAGATGTGGCAACGTGAAATTCTCGATATAAACAAACTCAAAATAAACAACTACATGGGGCTAACACCACCAGAAATAGAAAAATTCCATTCCCCATAAGGACAAGAAGCCAGCTTGAGCAAGGCGAGAGCTTTTCTATATGAAGATAACCTTGAAAAACAAAAAGAAAGTTTCCAAACTCGTGAGTGAAGCATCTCAATCACACTACAGCTTCAGCCTCCAAGAAGAAAGGAAGCCAGCCTCAGGACACCACAACTTCGACTCCAGAGGGTAAACGAAACAAACCATGTAAAAAAGAAGAAAAAAGGTTTTGACTTTTAGACAGGAAATTAAATGAACTCAACTACAAAACGCAGCTCTCCCTTCCTACGCGACTCTGTACACAAGAATAGTTTACACTCTCTGGAAAAAAATGAACCAGGCTATAAAAACACTTTTACCCTCCTTGATTAAATAAAATGATGCTGTACACAGACCGACCGGGTGAATAAGAAAAAAAGCTCAAAAAACAACACCCCCAAAAAAAGACCCTAAACGAAGCCGGAAACAAAAACAGATCCGGCTTCAGGAAGTTCACGAATCTCGCTCTACGACCTGGCACGTTCATAACAACTTGCGTGGGGCTCTTAACTTCCGGATTCACCAGACCGAGAAAGTTACGAGAAGTGGGGAACACAAGAGATCTCTTGACGGAGTAAGGGAGGTACAGGTACTCACCCAGCCTTCCTGACGGCGCCAGTGCAGTTGAAGGAGGCGGCGGTGGTGCCGGCTCGTGGGGCCTTGTAGGGAGAGTTGTGGACACTCTCACCATCCTCGTCCTCGCTCACAGCCGTCGTCAGGGACATACGGTCATCGTCGGACATCTGAAACACAACATATCACTCATCAACACAAGTACTTGTGTCTTACTCCTCCGGGGTCACTAGAGGAATAATAAGTAGTTCTTGATATCAAAATATATATTTTTACATGAAATACTACAATTATATTAGTATATTGTCACTTAATGTCACCTAAGTTCTTGAACATTACTTCTCTGAACTTTTCTTGTAAAGAGCAGTAAGGGACCACAAAAATAATTACAAGTACCATCACACAGTCCCTAGAATTTCTGAGTACCTGGTAAAAGACAACCACAAAAAATGAACATAAAAATAGATTTGTTGATGAAAACAGACAATGAAAAAAAGTTTGCCGATCGTTGTAGAAATAAATCCTTTTGTCTTCAGTGGCGAAACAGTATCTTGTTTTAGTCGAACACTGTGACTCGAAAATTGCCGTTTATCCTAGTGGTCTACTGTGACTTAAGGATCTAATGACCTGATTAGTTGTCTACGCCTCTTGTTACTGGAAGCATTTTTTATTTTCTTCCTGGGGCACTAATTCTGTGGCTGGAGGGACGCATGCTAGTCTCTCCCGTCCTAAATGAAGAGATGCGGGAGGTCAGGGCAGGACAGGGTGGAGTATTTCGAGTAGTTTCGAGAGGAAATGTGACAGGCGTCGAGCACAAGCAGGAGGAGGTAGTTCAGTGGCATGGTGATAGTGGTGAGAAGGTGGCAACAGTGGCAGAGGTGGGATGGTGGCAGCAGTGGGATTGTTGCAACGGTGGAAATGTGGCAGGGGTAGGGTAGTGGCAGAGGTGGGATGGTGGTCAAGGTGGAATTGAAGCTTGATAGACCAGTGGAAATAGGAATGGGGGCAGTGATGACAGGACCCACGCCCATACTTAGTCCATCAGTACAAGACGATAAGGAAATGGGTGGGCGAGGTAGTTGGCAAATGCTGGATAATATTCTTTAAGACTAAAGTAGATATGGAGATGGGCTTATAAAGGACCCCTTCTCTACCTCCTTTAAACTAGGGATGGCTTCTGCAGGGTGGACAGGTCTTCACAGGGAAGTGAGGGTGGAAAAGGAATAGATAGGAAGAGAATCATACCTCGCCCTTCACACTGAGGGGTGTTAAACAGCAAGCTTTGACGGGTAGAAAGAGAGAACAAGGAAATGGATGATAGGAAAGGGTGGGGGGAGAGCACGTTCCAAGGGGGAAGAAGGCCAAGAGAGAGAGCTCTGGCGGAGAATGAGTGAGGGGAGTGAGAGCAACCTGAGACAAATGACATACTGGGGTGACGCTGTTGTCCTGGTACACTCTACCCCCGGGAATGTAATTCACACTCTCATTCGCCATGTACGTTGGGCTGAGGGCTCCAACAGGGTGCAGGGCATCCGCTAAGAATTTAGCTGTTTTAGTCAAATGTTAGATGGCTTTTTTTGGTTTGGGTTTTTCTCCTTTAATAGCGTTTAGGGGGGTATCGGAGAGGACGAGGATGATGAAGGGAGGGAGGGAACAACAGAGATGGTGAAGGGAAGCGCTGGCAGGCTGGACACAAAGAAAAAAAGACAATTGGATTTTGGTGTTTGTGATGCAGACGAAAAAATAGACACTCGAGCTCACTTTCGATTTCAATCTCATTTTCCCCCACACACACACATATATATATATATATATATATATATATATATATATATATATATATATATATATATATATATATATATATATATATATATATATAATATTTATAAATAAAAATAAAAAATACATCTGTGTCTTAAAGGTGAAACATTATGTTAGGTTTAGTGATGTAGTAACGTTATGGGGGGTAGTAGAATTGGGTATTTTCTCTATAACAAATCATACACTCACCATCAGTGAACTGTGAGAAAAGTTTACTTAAGAGTTGCTAAAATAAGCCTTTAAAAGTATTATAACTAGGAGAAAGCAGCTTAGCATAATACTCATGCTTTAACTATTTATGTACATCAAAATGTAACGAGTAAGTTTAGTACACACATAGAGTGTCAAATATATTACCCCAAGAGAACCATATATACAATCTAACACATGTACAGTTTATCAAAGGAATATTGTTGAATGTTTTTCTTCAAACACATCACAGGCCATGATATTAAAAAGCTCACAGTGCTTTGAGATGACAACACAACAAGAGGGCGTATTGTCGCGCGTCCAGATTTCATGACAATGAACTGACATAAAGACATAGTATGACCCTTGGGTGTTGTCCTCTCATAACACTGAAGACAGGGTAAGGATACAGTTGGTGTGTCTTTAGTACACAACCACGAAGAACAAGATAATAAACGTTATCTTACTGTGTGCCCTAAGCTTACAACACTGAGGGGGAAAAACGACTTGACATGTACTGTGCTCTATGCTCGCAACATTGTTTCTCCAGGAGACCCGACACACTGTAAGCTACACCACATAGTTGGGTGAGGGAAGCGTGTGTACTGTACTGACACACAGTGAGGCACGAGATGTGTTTTACTGAGTGTTATGTCCTCTTAGAACTCACACAGATAAGAATAAAATGTTCTTTCCTCAAAACATAAAGGGGTTATGTTAGAACACACACCACACAGAAGCAAGTGATGTCCTGCTTACAACATAGAGGGGGGGTGGGGGGGGGGAACATAACAACACGCTCCTGACGTTAGATGGTTCTTGATATCACGGACAGTGTTAGGGCACCACGTCAAGTAATCACATGAGTAGGGCTCCTGACGACGTGTTAAAACGATAGTAAAGGAGCCATTTAAGGGGGTCTTAAAAGCGGGCTTAAGTTAATACGAATCCGTTCTTGGAGTGTGTGGGGAGGGGGGGGGGTGTCAACTTCAGAGGTTTAATGTTCAAGGTTCAGTTCAGAGGTTCAAAAGTAACCATGACACGAGATACAATGTACATCTTCTTAGTACACATGACACACAGTTACCAGAAATATTTTCTTCAACGATTTTAATAGATTTGATCTTGTTTTTCCTCAAAGATTTTGTTGCCTTTAAGTTCTTTATTCAGAGACTTGGATGTTTTTATGTTTTCATAGATAGTTTGTTATTTTTAATGTTATTATTTATAAATTATACAGGTATACAGTATATTTTTCTTTAGCTGTCATTAATTGAGATAACATTGTTTTCAATTTTATTAAACGAAAATATTGAATATTTGCAAATTTCTTAATAAAATTATTTTTGTTCTTTTAATTTTCATTTGCTTATATTATATGATATTTATAACGTTCCAATTCTGATATTTTGATTTTTAAATATTAATTGCCAGAATGTTGGCTGTAAAATGTTCTCTATCATACACTGTTTACAAACTTTGTACCAGATATAACGACTAATAAACAGACACTTTACGCCGTCTTATACAATAGTGTTGCCGAGACGTGTACATCTTAATAACCTAGAGGCTCAGTCTAACGTTCATACCAGTCTATACAACACTTTTTTGTATTTCCGTCAGCGAGTTATGAACGTATTACTGGTAAAGTTACGGTCCTGTGTATAGTTACGGTCTTGTGTATACTTCTGTTCACTCATGTATAGTTACCTTGATCCATGTAAAGTTACCTAGATCCATGTAAAGTTACCTTGATCCATGTAAAGTTACTTTGATCCATGTAAATTCACCTTGATCCATGTAAAGTTACCTTGATCCATGTAAAGTTACCTTGATCCATGTAAAGTTACCTAGATCCATGTAAAGTTACCTTGATCCATGTAAAGTTACTTTGATCCATGTAAAGTTACCTTGATCCATGTAAAGTTACCTAGATCCATGTAAAGTTACCTTGATCCATGTAAAGTTACCTAGATCCATGTAAAGTTCTGATCGATGTAAAGTTACCTTGATCCATGTAAAGTTACCTTGATCCATGTAAAGTTACCTTGATCCATGTAAAGTTACCTAGATCCATGTAAGTTACCTTGATCCATGTAAAGTTACCTAGATCCATGTAAAGTTACCTTGATCCATGTAAAGTTACCAGTCCATGTAAATTCCTGATCCATGTAAAGATACCTTGATCCATGTAAAGTTACTTTGATCGATGTAAAGTTACCTTGATCCATGTAAGTTACCTTGATCCATGTAAAGTTACATCATGTAAAGTTACCTTGATCCATGTAAAGTTACCTTGATCATGTAAATTCTAGATCCATGTAAAGTTACCTTGACATATAAAGTTACCTTGATCCATGTAAAGTTACCTTGATCCATGTAAGTTACTTTGATTGATGTAAAGTCACCTTGATCCATGTAAAGTTACGTCCGTAAAGTTACCTTGATCCATGTAAAGTTACCTTGATCCATGTAAAGTTACCTAGATCCACGTAAAGTTACTTATCGATGTAAAGTTACCTTGATCGATGTAAAATTACCTTGATCGATGTAAAGTTACTTTAATCCATGTAAAGTTACTTTGATCCATGTAAAGTTACCTTGATCCATGTAAAGTTACCTTCATTCATGCATAGTTACGTTCATTCAAGTATAGTTACGTTCATGCGATAGTTACGTTCATTCATGCATAGTTACGTTCATTCATGCATAGTTACGTTCATTCATGTATAGTTACGTTCATTCATGTATAGTTACGTTCATTCATGTATAGATACGTTCATTCATGTATAGATACGTTCATTCATGCAGTTACGTTCATTCATGTATAGTTACGTTCATTCATGTATAGATACGTTCATTCATGTATAGATACGTTCATTCAGATTACGTTCATTCTTATAGTTACGTTCATTCATGTATAGTTACGTTCATTCATGTATAGTTACGTTCATTCATGTATAGTTACGTTCATTCATGTATAGATACGTTCATTCATGTATAGATACGTTCATTCATGTATAGTTACGTTCATTCATGTATAGTTACGTTCATTCATGTATAGATACGTTCATTCATGTATAGTTACGTTCATTCATGTATAGTTACGTTCATTCATGTATAGTTACGTTCATTCATGTATAGTTACGTTTATTCATGT